GCTATTTGTACGCTGTGCCCCCTGTGATGACCGCGCTGGCGAAGCAGGGGAAGCCGACCGGGTATGATTTGAGCTCTTTGAGGAGGATTGCTGCGGGGGCGGCTCCTTTGGGCAAGGACGTGATGGAGGAGGTCTCCGAGATTTTTCCTCGTGCCGATATTATCCAGGTGAAGTTTTGTAGGAATATAGATACCGTGTCGGCGAAACTGATAGTATGGGTTTGTTAGTGGTTTCCCTCAATCAGCATAAGAATTCACATCATGTCTGTTGTATGTATGCATGCTTTCCTTCCTATCTGAACTATATTGTTGAAGCACAACTTGTTAGAAAAGTTGTCCCTGTATATTTGATTTTAGAAATTAGTATAGGTCTCCTAAGCTTAGGAACTAAAAAGAACATAACAAAATAATCTATATCCAGATAGAGTATGATATTAGGTTGTTAGTTTTTGTTAATAATTATTCATACCACGTGATAGGATACCCACCATTTATTTCGCTTCTGGTACGAGTTTGACTAAAATATATCAGAATGCTAGATAATGGTATTATTTTAAGAATATGCACATGTGCCGATCAGGTTCGGTTCACCTAATTCCATCAGAAAAGAAAAATTAGGAAGAAAGAGTCAGATGGGAACTATGAAATATAATATGCTCACAATTTCCTTTCTCTACCCCCCACCCAAAAAAAAGGAAAAAAGGAAAAAAAAAAGGAAACTAGTGAGGCATGAATAAAATTATTTGCTCATCTATTTCCATTATTTTCTATTTGTGCTCCTGTAAAACCCCAAGGTAGACACCACTGAACTACAAAATTTTATATTTTGAGAGGAAAAGTATTTGACGCTAAAATTTGAATGACATATTTATCAAATGCTGATACATCAGGCAGTCAAAACTGTACCATCCTATTATATTGTTTCCTGAAGCCCTTTCTCAGTTAAACGATGTTCCAGTTAGATAAACATTCATTTCAATCCATTTTAAGTCTGTATGAAATAGCTGCAGGTAATTCATCTGCTCTACCTTATCAACAATATTAATATTGATATCTATGCCTATGGTTCTGAAGTTAGATAATCGTGTTAGCAGTTAGCGTCAATTCCATCTGATTCAAAGAAAGCGACAATTTCTGTCCACATTGTATCCATCAGTAGTCGTTGCCAATGTAATAATAGTCATGATCATCTAATGAAGAAGTATCTTGTATTAAAATATTTTTCGTGGGAAATTATTATTTTCCCTTTCAGAACTGCTCTATTGAAACTTCCTTCTATATATGTGGCATTAGATTTCTTTACCTAGAAAAATTCACATCATCAGGAACAGAACATTCTGCCAGTGATAATCTTGTACAGTTGTGATACCACCATCCTCACATAAAGCTAGCTGGTAGCTTCCGGTTTCTTACGAATGCAAGTTCTACCTAGCCTCTTCTCATATGTGAAAAGCGTTGAAGCAAATTATGTTTAACAACATTTTAAACTTTCCAAGCAGGGATATGCTTTGACAGAGTCGTGCGGTGTGATGTCACTTGAGCTTCCTAAAGGAGCGCCTCGCCAATTTGGTTCTGCAGGTCACCTCATCTCAGGAGTTGAAGGCAAGGTTGTTAGTGTAGATACACTCAAGTCTCTTCCACCTAATCAACTTGGTGAGCTTTGCTTCCGTGGACCAAACATTATGCGAGGTATATTCTTTTGTTATATAATTTCAGAAAAGCAAACTTTTATTATATGTTAAATAGTTTTACTTCTTATAACATATATGGAAGAAATTGAGCAATCTCAAGTTAATTAATAAAAAAAGTTGCTCAAGAAGTAGGATATGGTTGACTTGTGCAGGAAATGTTAATGGTGATTTACGTAACATAACAAGCTCCGCTTAAACATGAAGAGCACTAAAGGATAGCAAGTCATGCTTAACAGACCAAAGCTACAATCAAAGTGATTTTGAATGTTGCGTAATTCGTTTGTGCAATTATCAGCAATTGATTCTATAAATCTAGTAACTTGCTTCACACAACACAGAAGCAAACCTCGGAATCCACCAAGAAACTCTATGAATCTATGAAGAAAGATAATTTTTCAATCGGTAAAAAAATATAAATAGAGGAAAATATTGTTTAAAAATCCTCTGCTTAAGTAGAAAACTTAACTGTCTCCTAATAGGATAGAATTTTTTTAAGAAAAATAGAAAGTATCAAAAACTATCCTAAAAGACTTCCTAGGATTGAGGAAATAAACCTGTCAAATTTTAATCAAAACCAAATTTATTTCCTAATAAAAAAGGACTCTTCCTTTATTACTAAAAAGAGAAAAAATACCATACAAAAAAAAATGTGGCAAATGAAATTTCGTGAAGCTGACCGTTGCAAACTGAAGTCCCGTAAGTTGTGACTCCGTCTCGTCGAAATATGCACTCCAGGGTTGAAGATATGACCTTTTCTTCGCCATCAAGTCAATCATCCATCTTGCGCCCTTGTTTGGGCGTATGGTGGTTGGATGGTGGTCCAACCGCTCCATGAACTCATTTACTATGTGTTCTACATCATCGTGTTACTAAGAAAAAATACGTTTAGCAAGTTCCAGTGTAATTCTCTCCAATATTCAATATTTAAACGTGCTATCCAAAGAAGGGATCTCGATGTCCTTTATGATTTACAGTTAGTTTTGATAGACCATTCACCTGAAAATCTATATAGTGTTTGTTGAATTAAGTTATTTGCTTATATTTTTTAGGATCTATTTAAGTTCTTATTCTGTTTACATGTACTACATTTTAGATGAAATATTAGAGCATCTCCAACCCAAAAACCCAAAATAGTGTAGTTTTTGCACTTAATTGGTTTAGTTTTTACACCAAATCACTATTTCATCTCCAACCCATTACACCAAATTTTATATCAAAAAGAATATTCCTTTTATGATTCTTATCTTCTAAATTTTTTATCTATTTAAAATATTTAACAAGTTATATATTATATAATTATATAATACATTACATATAATTAATTATAATAATATATTTTATGAATAAAATGCAAATATAAAAATAATGCTTAATCAAGTTAAAATATTACTTTCCTAAATTTACGTTTAATTTTTATTATTATAATACAACATAAATTTATTATTATAAAATATATTATTAAAATATTATTTTATGTTGTATTATTATTTATTATTATAGAAAATAATAATACAACATAAATTATTGTGTAATAAAATGGATATTTTATGAATTATGTGGTAAGTTATGTTGTATTATTATTTTTATCTAAATAATTAAAAAATTAGAAGGCTAAAAATTAAAAAAATGTTGCGCCAAAGCTACAGCGCTGCGCCAAATCTGGCGCAGCACTGTAGCACCTCATCAATTTAGCGCTACTTTTAGCGATCGGTTGGAGACATGGTTTTGCGCTAAAATGGGTTTTAGCGCTAGTTTAACATCATGTTGGAGATGCTCTTAGCTAATGTATTTGCAATTTGTTCAGGGTATTTCAACAATCCGCAAGCCACTGAGTTGACTATAGATAAGGAAGGGTGGTTACACACAGGTGATCTCGGGTACTTTAATGAAGAGGGACAGGTTTTTATCGTGGACCGCATAAAAGAATTGATTAAGTACAAAGGTTTTCAGGTAGCTCCAAAGATGAACTTCGGTTTCTTAACTTTTAAGATGACTTATATCTTCTTTTAGCACATTTTGGTGAACTGGAGTGTAGGTTAAATCAAGGAGCATAAGAAAATATTTGACGGAATTCTATAGGAAAAATGACAGGATATATTCTAATTTGTAACTAGATGCAATCATCAAATTAAGGTACAGTGAGTAAAAGGCATTAACGTCATAGTTGTATTATCCTAGACCCCAATGTTATTGAACCAGAGTTAATCTAGCTGTTAATTAATTAGCATGAATTTATTTGGAAATTTGTTTTATGTATGTTTGTGAAATTTTTATTTGCAATTTTATTTTTAGGTTATTGCTGGTAATTCTGAGTACGAGAAGAGAGGGATTTAGTTAAGGATGTAAGGTGAAAGATGTCTTACGGCACAGTGTTTCAAAATGATAAAAATGCGTATCTTTGTAAGGAGAACTCCCACGGTCTCATCTTCATGTTTTCGCTATTCTAAAATTTTATGCTACAAATCAAACTGCAAATTTTTACCAGCCAGGTGTGGAGAAGAATTGGAAAAAGCAGATTTTTGGTCATAAGTCGACTCATGCACAGGCATAAGTCGACTTATGGTAAGTCGACTTATGTTGGTGCATGAGTCGACTTACGTTCTGCTCTGGATTGTTGGTTTTTTGCTCTGCCAAGTCGACTTATCAGGTCTGATAAGTCGACTTATGATCTCTTCTCCAGTTGCTGTTTTTCGCTCTGCCAAGTCGACTTATGCAGACTGATAAGTCGACTTATGACGGGTTTTTTGGAAAGTTCAGGTTCCTATTTGCAGTCTGTTTGGGTTTCTGTTTTGGTATAAATACCAATACGATTTGAGGGTTTTGTGGGGAGAGTTTTGGGGTTTTGGAGCACAGAAAAAGAGAGATCTTTCTGAGCTATTTGTTAGGGTTATTGGTTGAGAGATTGAGAGATTTGTTGGTGAGATTAGTTGGTTCGTTTGAGCGATTTGTAATCTCAATTTGTACTCTCCTTCTCTATTAGTGAAAACCCAACCCCTTCTTGCCCCGTGGACGTAGGCAATTTGCCGAACCACGTAAAACCTTGGTGTTTGTGTTTTGTTTGGTCTTTCTCTCGGCGTTCGTTGGTTTGGTTTCTCAAAGCATCAGTCACAACAAGTGGTATCAGAGCACGGGCAACGCTTGGGCTATTTGGAGGAGTAGATCGCTTTGGAAGTTCATCTAGGGCTTCGTTTGGTGATAAAGGTGGGATCTTTTTTTGTAAAAATCTCGTCTTTTTCAGTTTGGATCTATTTCTCGTTTGTTTCCGCATTGGTTTGGTGGTGCCTTGAGGATTATGGCCGAGAAAGAAGGAGTTGTGGGCAGTACTTCCGGCGTGAAGACCGTCCAAAGCTTGAATATCCACTCAATGAAGATTGATGTGGAAAAGTTCAATGGCACAAACAATTTTGGACTTTGGCGATGCGAAGTCATGGATGCGCTCAACGCGCAAAATTTGGAAGATACGTTGGAGTTGGACGGGAAACCGGACAACATTGATGAGAAGGTTTGGAAAAAGATGAATCGAACGGCGTGTGGTGTGATTAGGTCTTGTCTCACTCAAGATCTAAAGTATGATGTGATCAATGAGACTTCTGCAAAGAAGATTTGGGAGATCCTTGAGAGCAAGTATTTGACCAAGAGTGTGGAGAATCGCTTGCATTTGAAGAGGAGGCTTTACCGCTTCCAGTTGAAGAAAGGAACCTCCATTGGTGATCACATGAACCACTACACGAAGCTTCTTGCGGATTTGGCGAATGTGGATGTTAAGATTGAAGATGAGGACAAGGCGTTGTTGCTATTGAGTTCCTTGCCTGACGAGGAATATGAGACCTTCGTTCTTACTCTTATTAATGGGAAGGCATCTCTTTCGTATAGTGAGGTCACCGCTGCACTTGTGAATTATCAGCTTCGAAAGAAGGATAAGGAGACTTCGTTTGAGCCGGTAGCGGGGGCGTTGGTCGCAAGAGCAAAGGGTCCAAACCGTAGTGGGAGGTCGCAGTCTAGAGGGGCACATCTTGGAGTTCGTAAGAATCAATGTGCCTTTTGCAAAGAAGATGGACATTGGAAAGCCGATTGCCCAAAGTTAGTTGATCGAGCCGGGAAGAATAAGGGAAAAGCTATTCAAGCTTCAGAGGCGAATGTTGTCAAGGCTAGTGGCAACGATTCAGATTCGGATTCTTCGGGCTACTCGTTATCTGCACTGCCGTCAGTTTGTGTTGCCTACTCTACAGAGTGGATATTGGATTCGGGTGCTACATACCACATTTGCCCTAGGAGGGATTGGTTCTCCAGCTTTCAGGAGTTGGAAAGAGGGGATTTCGTGCTCATGGGGAATGATCACAAATGCTCTATTGGTGGTATTGGTACTGTTCGGATCAGGATGAGTGACGGGGTGATTCGGGAGTTGGTTGGAGTGAGGTTCGTTCCTCAGTTGAAGAAGAACATCATTTCACTTGGAGCTTTGGAGGCAGCTGGCTATAGGGTGACCTTGGCGGATGCACGCTTGAAGGTTACATTTGGGTCCATGATTGTGATGAAGGGCGTCAGAAGAAGAAATTTGTATTATTTGCACGGAAGCACGGTGATTGATAGGGAAATGACGACTTCATCAGATTCGGCTAGACTGTGGCATTGTTTGGTGCTGGGGTATATGATTGGTAATACCGTGCATTGGTTGTTGAGGAGTGCTATGACCTGCAGATTGAAGTCCTGTGAGCACATTAGGATGAGCGAGACCGTGGTGGAGTTTGGCACTTCTATCCATCGAGCGAGGGGTCTTTTTGGAGGTGTTCAGTCAGGCATTTGGGGGCCTTCCAAGGAGGCATCATTGGGAGGTAATCGTATCTTGGTTTCCACAGTTGGTGATTGTTCTAGGCATTATTGGGTCGCGACCAGTTCCCGTTGGTGTAAAGTCCTAGAAGTCAACAACAATTGGAAGAAGTGTATTGGCAGAAAGGTAACTCATTGTTTCAGCTTTGGTAGGGGTCCTTTCTTGCGTTGGTGCCGAGCTCACGGCAATAGGAGACACTTCATTGGTGTGGAGACTTTGGGGCGACGAGATGAGATGACAGTTTCGATGGGTCGTTCCTTTCTGGAGGAGGATCGGCGTTTGATGTCGAGCATTGGCATTGGTGTGCGGGCTTCGACATATTTGGGTCATCTTATGCATAGGTCGCCGACTGCTGCTTTAGGAGTTATTAGATCTGGTGGAGCTGCTTCAGATTTTGGGTCGCGTCGGATATTTGGATACCCAGCATTTGGTCACATCGTGGATGTGAGATTGGATCCGATTGCGCGTTTGGGGTTCGGAGGCTCAGTTGATTATCGTTTGGGAGCTTCTGATTTTGTTCTGAGCAGGTATGTCACTTTTGACTCTCGGCAGGTGGAGAGTGTTGATCAGGTCATTTGGATATCGCAGCAGGTGGAGAGTGATGCTACTCCACGTTGGGTGGAGATTACTCCACATACTCCAGATCATACTGCGTCATTTGGGATTCCAGCTAAGGTGACACAGGTTGGAGATCATTTGGTTTTGGATGCAGATGATGGATTGGTTTTGGATTCAGTTGCAGCTGGTAGATATAGTTTGGATATGGCCATTGGTTTACCTCAGGTGGAGGTGTTTGATTTGTCTCAATTTGGGGTCATTGGGAATACTATCAGTTGCAGATCGTTTGGTGATATTGGAGAAGAGTTGCAGACTTTTCTATTTGATTGAGGGCCTTTGGAGGCCGTTTGGGTGAACTACGTGAAGGCTTGATTCCTTGGGCAAAGGATACGTAGGCAGTCATTTTGATGCAGCCGATTTGGTGAGCGACATCGACATTTGGGGTGAGTGTTCACACTCTCATTTGGGTCTCAGCATGTGAGGCATTTGTTTGGTTGGTGTCGGCTCAGTTTTGGGAAAACTTCGCCGAGGTGGAGAATTGTGGAGAAGAATTGGAAAAAGCAGATTTTTGGTCATAAGTCGACTCATGCACAGGCATAAGTCGACTTATGGTAAGTCGACTTATGTTGGTGCATGAGTCGACTTACGTTCTGCTCTGGATTGTTGGTTTTTTGCTCTGCCAAGTCGACTTATCAGGTCTGATAAGTCGACTTATGATCTCTTCTCCAGTTGCTGTTTTTCGCTCTGCCAAGTCGACTTATGCAGACTGATAAGTCGACTTATGACGGGTTTTTTGGAAAGTTCAGGTTCCTATTTGCAGTCTGTTTGGGTTTCTGTTTTGGTATAAATACCAATACGATTTGAGGGTTTTGTGGGGAGAGTTTTGGGGTTTTGGAGCACAGAAAAAGAGAGATCTTTCTGAGCTATTTGTTAGGGTTATTGGTTGAGAGATTGAGAGATTTGTTGGTGAGATTAGTTGGTTCGTTTGAGCGATTTGTAATCTCAATTTGTACTCTCCTTCTCTATTAGTGAAAACCCAACCCCTTCTTGCCCCGTGGACGTAGGCAATTTGCCGAACCACGTAAAACCTTGGTGTTTGTGTTTTGTTTGGTCTTTCTCTCGGCGTTCGTTGGTTTGGTTTCTCAAAGCATCAGTCACAACACCAGGATCTTTTAATGCTCTCATCATAACAAGTATAAATTATCTTTTATTAATTTCCATTTCCACAGCAGTAAAAGTCACCCCTTTTTGCTAGTTAGTCCTAGTTCTCTAATTTTGATCCACTAAGCAAGTGCCCTAGTTGCCCTCTTGTGGCATTGCTGTCTCAGCCAGAGAGTCACTAGTCTAGAGGAAATCTATGCATGAATGAGTGGGAGTTAAAACTTTTCCATTTTCAGTAATTTCTTGGAGAATAATGGTGCCTTATCAGTTTAAATTTCCGAATCCATGTTAATATGAAAAGCTTGGTTGATTGTGTGAAAGCTGCATCCTTGTTGGTCTTTTAACAAGGAAGCTCATAATAATGTCATTCGACCTTTT